TCGCCCGTAACAGATGTAAATACATCAATCGATATTAGTGAAAACACAGCGGAGCTAGACCAGGCTTTAATCCAGTATGTAACAACCTCCAGTCGGTTACTTTTTGCCGAACGTGAAGAAACTTGGAATGATTTCCACACAGCGAGTTGGAATAATACTGAAAAGTTCACCGACTATTCAACTGAGCAGCTACGTGAGCATTTTCTGCAAAAAGTGCTACCGAAAATACAAAACTATGAGCTGACCGCTACACAAATACAAATGTTTGAGCTGCTAAAGTTGCAACCGGAATATGAGCGGACTCCCACTGGTTACGTACGCATTCCAGCTAATCGGCGTATAGGCTTTAACCGCCAGCCGAAAGAAGGAAAAGATTTCATACTGGTCAAACAAACGCGACAGCTGCGGCAAATGGTGAGTGTATGCGAAATGTTAGTTAACACAATTGTACATTTTGGGTAAAACTTACAATTTATTTCAACAGTTGAATGAATGCTCACTAATTGAAGGCGAGTTGGATGCAAATCAAGAATTTGATTTGAATAAGCCTGAACATTCACCGACTCACACGCTATTGCTGCGTGCACCTTATGAGCGGCAGGGTACTGGCTATAATTACAAGTTCTCCAAAGAAAATGCTGCGTTATTGTCTGCAGCGCTCTCAAACGACTTTGAATTGTTCGGCCGTGTTTTAATCGAGCCAAAGGAAATTCATAAGCGCTTACGCGATGCAAAACGCGATTTTGAGCAAACTGCACGTATGCCGGAAAATTGTTTGGATGCCGAAAAATTAGTTGCCAAAATCAAGAAGTTGAAAACGTTGTGTGAGGCGATAGTGGATGTAGTGACTAGTCGCTTTTAATATTCAATGCATTAATTTTATACTAATTATTTTTTGTATTACTTTTGCATTTGTGAATACACTTTTTAATTTCATCGTATGGATTTAATGAATAAATTCTAAAAGTTTCAAGTTCTCAAATTAAAATTTATGCTGGTATTGATAATTGTTTAACCACGCCATTCAATATTTCTGGTGTCTTGAAGCACCAATTTTTAATATGTTTGCTCACTCTGCACCAGGCCTCGCCATGCTTCGGCTCAGCTGTTACACAACGCTCTAAGACTTCCTTCTGTTGCTCTTCCGTACCATGCAGCATCTGGAATTTGTAAAAATATGCCCAAGCATCGCCTAGATCGGGATCGATTTTAACCTATCAACAATTTAAAAAAGTTTATTTTTAATAAAAAATTAAAAAATTATTTACTATTATTTCCATTAACATTTACCGTACGATTGAACCAGTCGCGACATTTAGTGAATTTATGTTCTGACCAGAGCAACTTTGAAACAGCCAGCAGCACATGGGGATCGTGTTCACATTTTTTGAGCGCATCAACTGACTTCGTTTTGCGCTGCGGCTTCGATTCCATGTGGATCGCCTCAGCCCATAGCTCACCTGAATTAGGGCATTCCTGCAATGCACGCGCCATCATTGTGCTAGCGATTTCTTTTAAGCCAGCGCGCAATTCTATGCGTATTGCTTCCAACCATAGCATTACAGTCTTCGGATTCCGCAAGCGTCCACGCTCTAGTATTGAACGCGCCTTAGTAAGTGTGCCCTTGCGTTCTTCAAGCTTAGCAGAAAGTGCTCACAACGGTATAGATGTTGGACACTCTTTAATACCTTGAGTGTAGGTCTCGGCCGCTTCATCCAAATGATTTTTTTGTTCTTCGATTTGTCCTTTCATCATCCATAGTTTAGGAAAGTCAGGGAATACCTTTACAGCCTCATCAAGCAGGCGCAAAGCATCTCCCAAATTGTCGAGCGCCCATTCTAGGCGTGCAGATTTCATCATAACACGTGGTGTAGGCGCCGATGAACGTGCTTTAGCTAGCAAACGGCGTGCACGCTCGTATTCTGCATTCTCTGACTCCAGTTTGACAGCAGCCAACCAAATGTCTTCAGAGTTAGGATTCGCTTGAAAAGCTAACGAGAGTATGCCACGCGCAGCGGGAACATCACCAGCCATCCACTTGGATTTGGCGCCCACTAGCCAGAGCACCTCAGATTTAGGACAATGTGCTACGGCGCGTTGAAGCAGCGCCTCCAGAGATTCGCGCGTACCATGACTTTTCTCGAAGTAGGCTGCACGCAACCAAATACTCTTCTTTGACGGGAACACCTGCAGCGCGTACGCATAGACAGCACGTGCGCACTCTAATGCATTCTCCTTTGCGCACTGTTGAAAAAAGGAATATCATATACATTAAAAGTTGATCGAAAAAACAATAAGCATTTAACCAAACCAAATTTTAAACCATGATACTCACGAACTCAGCGTCATCAATCCATGTTTGTTTGCGATCCTCCTCCTCCACGCCTACACTAATTACAGCTTTTACTATGGCCTGGCAGTAGTGCACCGCGCCAGATTTCTCCGCTTCAATGGCCTCCTGGAACCATTGTTCGCGGTTGATCTCAACACCATTTGCGGTAAGTGATGCCAATGAACGATCGATAATTTTCTCCACCATGTGTATATTTCCATTTGCTTCTTCCAGCTTTGCAGCAGTTGTCTAAATTTGTCTATCCGTAAGTATATTCACACGCGCCTTATTCAGTACCTTACGTGCATTTTCATAGGTTTCTAGACGTGCCAACGCCAGCCACAACTCCACGCTAGTGTTGCAGCACTCGACAGCACGCGAGAGTAAAATACGCGCATCATCAGGATTCTCTAATTCGACAGCAGCCTTCCAAAGCCGCACCGAGTTGGGAATGTGTTCGAGCGCTTTGCGAAAAACGCGCCGTTTTGCTTTTGTCTCCGTTTCCAAATCAGCAGCCCATATCCAAATACGCACCGAAGTAGGAATGTGACGCGCTGCCTGAGCAATCACAGTCTTACCTGTGTCTGGCGGCTGCAAACGCGCTGCTTCTAACCACAAGTCCTCCGATTGGGGATTGATCTCACAACCACGCATTATAAGATTACGTGCCATTTGCACTTTGCCAGTTACTTCTTCCAAACGTGCTGATGCAATCCAAGCAGGTGGATGGTTAGGGTTCGTTTCACGAACACTTTTCAATAAGAGGCGTGCTTTCTTGATATAATTTATGTCACCGCCGTAAGTGGGTATCATGCTTTGCAGGTCAGTCAGATAGCCCTTCGGATCAACAACAGTTTGACCGGTTACAGAGTCAGAAACCTGCGAAAGCTTAACATTCATGAGCGTGTTACGCGCCTGGCCAATCTTGCGTAAATCCAAATCGCCGGTTGGTGTAAGCATGCCAGGCGTGGCTACACCAGGTACCATTGAGGCAAGCCCAGATGAAGGATCGATTGTTGAAGTAGCTTCACCACCGAGATTACGCGCCAGCACGCTGTCAGGAAGCGGTGTGAATTTCTCTGCACGTGGATTACGCTGCTTGCGATTGCGACTGT